AGAGAGCTTGACTGGGGCCCAGGAAGACTAGGTCATCACAAGAGCACAGAGAGAGCTTGACTGGGGCTCAGGAAGACTAGGTCATCACAAGAGCACAGCTGCCACCACCTCCTAGAGACAGGCAGACATTCCAGTTATGGAAACTAAGGTAGGTCAAAAGTTAACCAGAGCTTCAACTCAAGTCAGAATTGACTAAAAAGGAAGAATGCATGACTTACTGAAAAGTATGGGTCTAAACTGGATAGGATTTCTCACTTAGTTTCTTTGGAAATGCAAGTAATTATCTTGGGTAATTTATCTACTGAGAATGGGCTATCAGCCTGAAAAATGAAGGTCATTTTTATTAAGCACCATGAGAGGGCTTCATAAAGTTCATGAAAAAATTCCACGACCTTTCAATTAAATGTTTTTCCACAGACATTTTTTGAAGCCCCCTTGTATGTGTCTGGGGCTGTACTAGATTTTGTTTTTTCTTTTGTATGTTATATTACTTTATCCTCATAACCCCCCCCCAAAATATGGTTATTAATATCCCCATTTTTTATGGATGAGAAAAATGAGTTTCAGAGAGGTTAAGTCATTTGACTGAGGAGGGCACACCGTGGCGAAGTTGGGCTTTTGTATCCAGCCCTAAAACTGTAAAACCTGAAGACATTTGATCATCTTTGGTACAATGACAGCTGCCCCCATCAGCACCACCTGCTCTATGACTAGGCACAGGCTTTCTTCTTACTGTGCGGATGATGGTAACCTGGCTAAGCCTAGATCATCAAGCTATATCTATATATTACAATATCTAATATATTGCATAAGAAACACAGTTCAGGGTAATGGTTATGAACATGGTCTCCAAAGCCAGACTGACAGGGTTGAAATCCTGGCTTTCAGTTGTGTGACTTCAGGCAAGTTATTTCAACTCTCAAGCCTTAGTTTTTTTCATCAGTAAAATGGACTGATGATAGTATCTATCTCACAGAATTTCTGGGAAGGCTAAATGTATTATTATAAATAAAACATTAAAAAAAAAATGCCTGATGCATAACAAATCAAATCCAAACCCATCGCCAGCTAGTAGATTCCAACTCAACAGTTCTGTAGGGCGGAGTAGAACTGCCCCATAGGTTTCCCAAGGCTTCAGTCTTTACGAGACCACACTGCCACATCTTTCTCCTGTACAGTGGCTAGTAGCTTTGAAATGCTGACCTTTTGGTTACCAGCAGAGTGCTTAACCACTGTGCTACCAGTGTGTCTTGTGATGCATGATGTTGTTGTTGTGCCATCAAGTTAGTTCTGACCCATAGCAACCCTGTATAAGGTTTCCGAGGAGTGGCTGGTGAGCTTGAACCGCTGACCTTGAGGTTCAAAGTGACCTTGGGCTCCAGCACATTAACCCAGACACCACACCCACCAGGACTCCCTGATGCATGATTAGGTATTCTAAAAGTGCCAGTTATACAGACAATGACTTGTTGTTAAGTGCCTTCAAGTCAGTTCTGACCCATAGCAATGCTGTATAGGGTTTCCAAGGAGCAGCTGGTGAGCTTGAACCACTGACCTTATGGTTCAAACTGACATTGCAATCCAGAGCATTAGCCCACAGCACCATACCAGAACCCATATTTATTCAGGTATGTAAATGACAACATACAAATCATAAAAATTCTATAATTAAGGTTAAGGACACAGCCTTATAGACACACTGATATTCTTTTACTTCTTCCCCATTGATGTCACCAGATCTCTAGGGTCAAGCCTTGGTGTGATGCTGTGGGATAAGCACTGAACTGATAGCCACAAGGTCAACAGTCCAAATCCATCAGCCATTCTTGGAAACCCTATACAGAGTTACTGTGGATCTGAACTCACTAGACAACACTTAACAACATCTCTAGGATTACTATGGGTTGAATCACCAGTATCATGAGAGCTGAACTGCTGATCACATCAAGAATGATCACAACTACAAGGATTTTCAAGAAAGTGCTAGAAAGTCCCCCAACGGCCACATGTCTTCCTGATTCCCACCATAGAAACCACAGGAGAATGGGAAGGAAAAAAGGCTACATGTTTCCTGGAATCTCTGCTATTACCTCACAGCCAATCATGAGGAAGAGAAACAGAAAGGCCAAAATGTTCACCACAGTACAGAAAGCCAAGAATAAAGTCTTGGATCAAGTACGAGAGCCAGAAGCTGACCCATGCAGCCAGTTTGAAAAGTGAAAACAAGGCTACCCATCGCCATTCTTGGCCATGCTCATCCCGAAGGAACTTTAGGGGGAAGTGGGAGGCCAGCCCTTTAGTCAGAGATAAAGGTGGAGACTTCAGTTTGGCATGTGATTTATGGGCTTCCATGGAGTCCTGGTGTGGCGCTGCAGGCTAATGCGTCAGACTGCAAAGTCGTTTGGACTGCAAGTTTGGTGGTTCAAGCTCATCAGCTGCTTCTTGGAAACCCTATACAGGGTCGCTATGGGTTGGAACTGACTCGATGGCACTTAACAACAACATAAACTCCTGGTGTGGCACTGCAGGATCAGAACTTGACTGTGAACCACAAAGTTAGCAGTTCAAACTCACCAGCTACTCCTTGGAAACCCTATAAAAGGTCGCTGTGAGTCAAAATTGACCAGACAGCACTTAGTAACAACATAAACTCACCACACTTTGTTTCAGTGTGGAACTGTAGGATAAGCATTGGTCTGCTAACTGCAAGGTTGGTGGTTCAAACCCACCAGCTGCTCCTTGGAAATCCTATACAGGGTCGGCTATAGGTCACAACAGACTCAACAAAACAACAACTTTAAAAGGGAAAGGTCAAATATAAAAACCAACACAAAGACTATTAAGAAAAAGAAAAACAGTTGTTGAATTTATTCGGACTCATTAAAAGATCGCTGACCCTACTAGTGTCAGAGCACAACTGTACTCCATGGGGCTTTTAATGGCTGATATTTTGGAAGTAGATTGCCAGGTCTTTCTTGCAAGGCATCACTGGGTAAGCCCAAACTACCAAACTTTTGGTTACTAGCCAAGCATTTAACCATTTTTTACCACGCAGGAACACTATAACACAAAGGCTAATGCAGACTGATTTCTCCTTTCCTGGAGTCGAATAATCCAGTCTATTCTTTTCATCAAGGAGCTCTGGTAGCATAGTGGTTACGAATCAGGCTGCGAACCTCAAGGTCAGCAGTTCGAAACTACCAGCTGTTCCGTGGGAGAAAAGATGAGGCTTTCTGCTCCGGTAAAGATTTATAGCCTCGGAAACCTGGTACAGGGTCACTATGAGTCAGAACCGACTCCACGGCACATAACAACAACAACAACAACAACAAAGATTTACAGCCTTGGAAACCCAGTACAGGGTCGCTATGAGTCGGAATCAACTTCATGGCACATAACCACCACCACCACCAGGAGCCCAGCAGTTTTCTGTCTTCAACAGAGTGCTCCAGGGAAGGGAGAAAAACCTCCAATCAGTGCATGAATTCTTCTAGTCAAAGTACGTTCATAAGATTAGGAACCAGCTCCCTTAAATTTTGGATGATTTCACTTATCAGCTCTCTCTTTGTCCTCCTTTTGTCAGATACATTGCTTTACTTGTTGCTTTCTTTGTGATTTATATGGTAGTTCAACTTTTTCAGAATGCTTTAGAAACCAGCTGCTGTCGATCTAACTCACAATGATTCCATGTGAATCAAAGCAGCATTATGCTCCACAGTGTTCTCAACTGCGGAGTTTTGGGGAAGTAGATGGCTAGGTCTTTGTGTGGATATAAATCTCCATCCTTTTGGTTAGCAAGTGAGAACATTAACAATTTGCAACACCGAGGGACTCCCTAGAGTGCTTTGTTGTTTGTTGTTAGTAAGTGCGTCAGAGTTGATTCAGACTCACAGAGATCATGTATAGGATTTATGAGGAGCAGCTGGTGAGTTTGAATTCCCGATCTTGTGGTTAGCAGTCGAGTGCTTGTCCTACAGTGAGGGCTTTAGAATTCTACTTTTCAATCCTCATCACCAATCTCATCACCCACTACATTGGTAGTAGCAGCTACTTATTGCACAGATACTTACTGAGCACTTTCTATGTGCCAGGCGCTGTTATAATGCTGAGGATACATTAAACAAAACTGACAAATATTTTGTCCTAGTCTTGAGTCAGTTCTGACTCACAGCAACCTTATGTACAACAGCACAAAACACTGCCTGGTCTGCACCAACCTCACAATTGTTGCTACAGTTGCTATCACTGTGCCAATCCATCTTACTAGGGGTCTTCTTCATGTTCACTAACCCTCCACTTTACCAAGCAAGATGGCCTTCTCCAGGGACTGGTCCCTCTTGATAATATGTCCAAAGTATGAGAGATGAAGTCTGGACATCCTGTCTCCTAAGGAGCATTCTGGCTGTGCTTCTTCCAGCACAGACTTGTGTGTTATTTTGGCAGCCCATGGCACTTTCAGTATTCTCCTCCGACACCATAACTCAAATGCATCAATTCTTCTATGGTCTTCCTTATTCACTGTCCAGCTTTCGCATGCATATGAGGCTATTGAAAATACCATGGCTTGGATCAGGCACAGTTTAGTCCTCAAACTGACATCTTTGCTGTTCAATACTTTAAAGAGGTTGAGTGCAGCAGATTTGCTTATGCAATACGTTGTTTATTTCTTGATTGCTGTTCCCATTCATGTTGATGGTGGATCCTTTACTAAAGAAAGTATTTCAATTTCAAATTTATTTCAGCCTGTAGCTGTCCAATAGAGATTCTAGTTGTCTATCTATATCTGTTCTACATTTTGTCTCTAGTAAACTATTCATAATTTTTGCTGGAATAAAGTCTACTTTTCCCAAACCTGTGGGTTAAGCTTTAGGCTGCTAACTACAAGATCAGCAGTTTTAACTAACCAGCTACTTTGTAGGAGAAAGCTATGTCTATTCCCATAAAGATTGGAAACCCCAAGGAGTTCTCCTCGGTCCTACAGAGTTGCTATGGGTTAGACTCAACTTGATGGCAGTAGATTTGGTTTGTTTTGGTTGGTCCTTGAAGGTAGGAGCGGCTATGTGACCTCAGTTCAGTTAATGGGATGCAAGCAGAGGTATGGTGTCTGACCAGCTAGAATTATGATTAAAGCAAGACATAGATCCTTTCTCACCCCCATTCCTTCTTTCCTCTGACTCAAATGTGAAGGTAATGAATAAAAGTTGAGAAGGCATCTTAGACAAGAAGGCAAACTGTCATAGGATGAGGATGATAGAGCAAAAAGACAGAAGAAGCTTGGGCCCCCAATGATCATGGAACCCCATGATTAATTTTTTGTTACTATTAAGTGCCATCGAGTTGGTTCCAACTCATAGCAACCTTATAGAGGGTTCCCAAGGAGCAGCTGGTGGGTTTGAACCACCAACCTTGCAGTTAGTAGTCCAGTGCTTATCTTACACTGCCAAACCAGAATTCCTGTGAGGAACAGCATCTAAATAGTCTCAAAAAGACATCCTAAATCTATAATAACAATAAATATTTGACTTCACAAATTCAGACTGAAAATTCCTTTTATACCTTCATGAAGAACAGAGCTTGATGGAAAATTAAAGAACAAGTAAAAGTTGACACCAAGAAAACAATGTGCTATGGTTAATTGTCAGGGTGTGTTTATTTTATTTTGTAAGGAATTTATCTTTAAATACTTTGCTTATATGCATTATAACCAATCGAAAGCTTTGTACATTTATAAATATATGTGCCTTCTAGAATGGCTCTTGCCAAATGTGGAGAACTATTAAAGGACTATTCATTTGTAGGGAAAAACCAAAAAAAATAATTATTAGAAAGCCGGAGCAAAATCTTGCCCTCAGTCTTAAAAGGAAAAGAGTAAAACACTGACTGTCTCTCATGAGGCATCCCTAGTTGACGTATTCTGCATGTTAGAGTTGGGAAGACGCTCACTCAAGCTGTTGACCATTGCTGTGGAATCAATTCGGACTCACAGTGACCATAGAGGACAGAGCAGAACGGCTCTGATGGTTTCCAAGGCTGCCAGTCTTCTGGAAGCCAACTGCCACATCGTTCTCCCATGGAGCTGGGGGTGTGAACAGCCAACAGATTTGGGGAGTAACAGCCAAGCACTTAACCACTGTGCCAGCAGGGATCCTTGAGAAAGCGCAAGACCTTAAATCTTTGTCCTACAATATAGGCCTGGTCCAAAACACATGAGTGCTACTGATTACAAATCAGTCTTACTTCCTTAAGCTGGTAGACTGGACTTCTGGATAATACTAAAGACTAGTACTTTGTATTAGTACTAGTATACGGAGCTCTGGTAGAGTAGTGGTTATGAATCGAGCTGCTAATCTCATGGTCAGCAGTTTAAAACTACCAGCTGATCCATGGGAGAAAGATGAGGCTTTCTGCTCCCATAAAGATTTACAGCCTCAGAGACCCTGGACAGGGTTGCTATGAGTCAGAACCAACTCCAAGGTACATAACAACAACAACAGTACTTTATATAGAAGCCCTGGTGGTACAATGGTTTACTACTTGCTTGCTAACCAGAAGGCTGATGGTTAGAGCAAATCCAAATGCTCTGTGGGAAAAAGACCTGGTCATAAGATTGTTGTTGTTAAGTGCCCTTGAGTCGGTCCTGACTCATAGTGACCCTATTCTAGAAAACTCTGTGGGGTTATCCTACTCTGTCACATGCACACTGTCGCTATGACTCGAAATCCATTCAACAGCACCTAACAAAAACAGCAGTACTCAGTTAATACATGCTGTTGTTGTTAAATGCTGTTGAGTTAATTGGTTTCGCCTCATAGCAACCCAGTATAGAGTTTCCAAGGGGCACCTGGTGGGTTTGAACTGTCGACCTTGTGGTTCACAGTCCAGTGCTGATCCTACAGTGCTCCATTAGACGTTACCTTAAAAAGGTTTACACAGCAGGTACACACAACATTCTACATATCTTCCGCAAATTCCTACTTTGCCCATAAACAACATAAGTCAATTAAGTTGTAAAAAATGCTTTCAAAATCACATGCTATTAAGTAAAATGGTGATACAAAACATACCCTAGAGAATGTTTCTAATTCATTAGAGTTTGTCCAAGTAGGGTGCTCACACAAGAACTTGGTTGACATTATTTATCCACACCAAGACTCAGATGGGTGAGTAAAATGACCTTCAGGATGTAAGTGTGGAGCGTGTCTTCATTTGGGATAACACAGCATTGTTTTCTTCAGGCTTTAGTCCACAAGAAAACAGCATTTAGCTCTTTGTTATTCACATCCCTATTCTGACAGATTTGATTTTCTCTTTGGAAGTTTAAATTGGATCAAACTCAGACCTCCTGTTCTTTGAAGGACATAAATTTGGGTTGAGGCGAAAATGTTATTGAAAAGACAACTGACACATAGTGACCCCATGTCAGAAAATAGAACAATTCCATTGTGTTTTCTTGGCTGTAATTTTAATGGGAGCAGATCATCAGGTCTTTCTCCCACTGAGCTGATGAGTGGGTTTGAACTGCCAACTTTTCAGTTATCAGCCAAGCACTTAACCATGTGTGCCAGTAGATTAGTTGTTGCTTTTGTTAAGTGCCACCAAGTTGGTTCCAATCCATAGCAACCTTGTATAGAATTTTTTTATTTTAACCTTGTATAGGATTTTTGAGGAGTGACTTGTGTTTGAACCACCAATTTTGTGGCTAATAATCCAGTGTGGTGCTGTGGGTTCATTTGCCAGACTGCAAAGCCATTTGAACTGCAAGTTCGGAGGTTCAAGCTCACCAGCTGCTCCTCGGAAACCCTATGCAGGGTCGCTATGGGTGCGAATCGACTCGATGGCATTTGACAACAACAACAACAATCCAGTACTTACCCTGCAGTGCCACACTGTACCAGGGGTACTGATCTTGAAAAAGAAGCAAACTGCTTTCCAGCTCTGTCTACAGCTCATGGGATAAAGAAGAAAATCCACATTACCTTTCGCAGCTGAGCCAGCAATCCTTCAAATTCCTTCAGGTTCAGTGTAGTTCCACTATAGGATGTACAGCTATTTGCTGCTTTTCCCAGCCAGTAAATGGTAACTAATACCTGTGGAAAAAACCATGCACAAGAGCAGAAAATTTTTTTCTCAATAATTACCTTTCAACTAAGGAATTAGCGTTTCACCAACAGCAAAGAATTCCAACACTGATGTATAAAACCACCACCCATGAGGTATCCATTAAATCATTTTAATAAGAACCCATTGCCATGTCAGTTGGCATAAATATGATTCCATGGCTAAAATAAGACTCCAATTTTAAGGAGAAATTAGGTTGTAAAAACGTGATCTGAAGATGATGGCAAATCCTCCAACATTATTTTCATGTAACGAGGTTTCACAATTAACACCAAAATATTTCAGAAGTTCTTTGGAGTCTTTACCAGTATGAGCAATTAATTAGAAAGACGATTCTTTTTGAGATAGTAGATGGAAGGTCTACAGTTTCTACTTGTGGGCACAGAAAGTTTTGCTAAAACTGAAAGCAAAAATTCCAAAGGAGTGATAAAGATTCATGATTGGTTCTAAGCACACACAACAACATCCAATTAAAATCAAAAGAAAGTAATGTAATGAAGAATACTATCTGCAGATACCTAGCTTTGAGATATAGTTAAAAAACAAGAACCAGTTGTTTTATAGTTCCACAAAGACTCCTGGCAACCCCATGTGTGTCAAAGTCAAACTGTGCTCCATAGCATTTTTAATGGCCAATTTTTCAGAAGTAGGATGTCAGCCTTTTCTTCTGAAGCACACCTGGGTGGGTGTAAACCTTCAGCCTTTCAGCTAACAGCAAAGTGTGTTAACTATCTGTACCGCACATGGGATGCAAGCTCCCATTAATTTGAGATGGGAAATTTTCAAGCTTTGAAAAGGTTATTGTTTGTTGTTGGTGTGTGTTGTTGAGTCAATTTTGACTGAGAATGGTCCAGTAGAGGGTTTCTGAGGCTGTACATTTTTACAGGAGCAGAAAACCTCATCTTTCTCCTACGGAATGGCTGGTGGATTCAAACTGCTGACCTTGTAGTTAGCAACCCAATGCATAACCCACTAAGCTGCCTGTTAACCATCCTTAGATGTTTACGAATGAATAGTCCATAGTTGCGATTGTTACAATTGCAAAGGTAGAAGTTTGTAACATAAAAGGAGTAGTAGTTAATTTTACCTTCCAGGATCAGAGGACCATCAAGGGAGAAGAGCATTCACAGAATGTGGGACCCTATTCAGAGAAGCAGCGACACCAGAGATGGAGACAGAGATGGGGACATGGAGAGAGGAAGCAGCTGAGGACTCTACACTCATGGAAAGAGAAAGGCTGTGTGCTGGTGACCAGGAGGCAGACTTGCAGAATGTGCCCTTTGGTGGCTTAAATGATTATATATTCCTGAGTGTTTTAGTGTACATTGAAAAAAGTAAAAAAATAAATAAATAAATAACAGAGGGAACAGAAGCAAGTACTATTGAATGATGATGTATAAAGGGGATTGTGATCATTGCAATGAAATGAAACAGAATAGAATGAGTGTAAAACCAATGTTCTCCCATGTGAACTATTACTCAATTCACAATAAAAACTTAAAAAAAAAAAAAAAAGAATGATTAGTCCATGGTCTAAAGCTACATCCTATTAATTTTGTTCTGTTTTTCCAAAGAAAATAGTTCATAAAAGCAAATATCCTTTACACCAAATTTACCATATAATCCAGAAGGATATGTACCTTACAATTGAATTACAGCAGTCTGAACTCTATATAAAAGCTAAGGATATGATTTTATTTTTACATTTGGTCTTATTATTCCAATGAGCTGGAAAGTACTTGTTCCTTTCACTTGCAAAGCAAGCAAATACTTTGGACAACATGATATGTCCAGATGGCAAGAGGTCCAAAGTATTGTTATGTGTGCCAATGCTATGATGTGATTTGATTTTCTACCTTGGTGGGAATTTTTTCTTTCATACATCCTTCAAAATGTCCAGAACACACATGATGCCTAATTCTAGGCCATTAATAAGGACTCTAAAACAACTCCTGTGCACTAAGGGTATGAGGCTGTCTGAAGGGATAAGGGAAGAAAGGAAGAAAGAACTGCACCCATTTTCAGATGATGTGCTTTCTGATTTGTTTAAAACTTTATAATGAAAAAGTTTTAGAAAGGAAGATAAAGTAGTTGAAAAGAGAATGTCAACCAAGTGTAATGTTATTATTGTTGTTAAGAGCCATCAAATCAGTTCTGACCCACAGCGACCCTGTATAGGGTCTCAGAGGAGCAGCTAGTGAGCTTGAATTGCCAACCTTGCAGTTCAAACAGCTTTGTAGTCTGGCGCATTAACCCACAGCACCACACCAGGACTCTGAATCAAGTGTAATAGCACTTTGGAAATAATCCTAGCAACAAAACAGAAGTCACTGTCAACATACTTGTGTTTTGAAAATTAGATCAAACTACAAAGAGCTGATTTGGGATAGATGACTGGGACCTCTTAAAAATTAGGCACTTGTCCTGGTATGGTGTGGTGGGTTAATGCACTGGGCTGCAAAGTTGGTTGGAACCCTAAGGTCGATGGTTCAGGTTCACCAGCTGTTCCTCGGAAACCCCACACAGGTTAGCTATGGGTCGGAACTGACTCGATGGCACTTCACAACAACAATGTACATCAAAAGATTTCACCAAAAGAGTAAAAAGGGAGCCCACAGATTGGGAAATTTTTTTTGGCAACAACATACCAGAAAAGAAACTAATCTTTAAAATTTATGAAAAACTGTAACATCTCTACAAGAAAAAGAAAAGTAGTAGTTAATAGGCACAACACATGAACAGATATTTCACTAAGGAAGACATTCTGACAGTCAACAAATGTATAAATAAATGTCCACTATCATGAACCACTGCTGTTGTTGTTGTTGTTAAGTGTCATTGAGTCAATTTTGATCCAAAACAACCCTGTATAGGGTTTCCAAGGAGCAGCTGGTGAGCTTGAACTGCCTACCTTGTGGTTCAAAACAATTTTGCTGTCCAGTGCACTAACCCACAATGCCACATTATGAACCATTAGAGAGATGCAAATCAAAACAACAATGAAATATCATTTTAGTACAGCATTAATAGCAAAGTGAAAGAAAACAACAGAAAACAACAAATGCTGACAAGGGTGTGGAGAAACTGGGACCCTCCTACATTGCTGGTAGGGCAGTAAAATGGTACAACCACTGTGGAAAACAGTATGACACTTCCTCAGAAAGTTGGAAATAGAAATATCATATGACCCAGTAATCCCTTTACTTGGTATAGATCCACAAGAAATAAGGGCCAGGACATGAGCAAGTATATGCACACGAATGTTCACTGCAGCATATTCACAATTGCAAAAAGATGGAGACAGCCCATCAATGGAGAATGGGTAGACAAACTTTGGTACATACACCCAATATAATACTATGCAAACTTGAAGAATAACAATAAATCTGAAAAACACCTCCTAACATGGATGAATCTGGAGGACGTTATGCTGAGTGAAATTAGTAAGTCACAAAAGGACAAATACTGTAAGAGACCATTATTATAAAAGCTTAAGAAATGGTTTCCATACTAAAAGAAACATTCTTTGATGGTTACCAGGAGTGAGGGAGGGTAGAGTAATTCACTGGCTAGACGGTAGACATATGTTAGCTTGGGTGATGGGGAGGGCAATATTTAAGAAGAGGAAGGTTGGCAGGAAGATGATGAAGACAGAGGAAGGTACTCAAGGGCTAAGGGGATAGAAGCAAATAAGGATATATAAAGGCTTTCGATTGTGTGAATCATGACAAGCTATGGACAACATTGATAAGTATGAGTATTCCAGAACACCTAATTGTACTTCTAAGAAATCTGTACCTAGACCAAGAAGCAGTTGTTCGAACAGAACATGGGAACACTGAATGTTTTAAAATTGGGAAAGGTGTGAGACAGGGTTGTATTCTTTCACCATACTTATTCAACCTGTATGCTGAACAAATAATACGAGAAGCTGGGTTCTATGAAGAAAAACGTGGCATCAGGATTGGAGGAAGACTCATTAACAACCTGCGATATGCAGATGATACAACCTTGCTTGCTGAAAGTGAAGAGGACTTGAAACATTTACTTATGAAGATCAAAGAGCACAGTCTTCGATATGGATTACATCTCAATGTTAAGAAAACAAAAATCCTCACCACTGGACCAATAAACAACATTCTTATCAATGGAGAAAAGATTGAAGTTGTCAAGGACTTCATTCTTCTTGGATCAACAATCAACACTCGCGGAAGCAGTAGTCAAGAGATCAGACGAAGTATTGCACTGGGCAAATCTGCTGCACAGGAACTTTTTAAAGTATTGAAGAACAGAGATGTCAGCTTGAGGACTAAGGTGCGCCTGACCCAGGCCATTGTGTTTTCAATAGCCTCATATGGATGTGAAAGCTGGACAGTGAATAAGGAAGATCATAGAAGAATTGATGCCTTTGAGTTGTGGTGTTGGAGGAGAATACTGAAAGTGCCATGGACTGCCAAAAGAACCAATAGATCTGTTTTGGAAGAAGTGCAGCCAGAGTGCTCCTTGGAGGCCAGGATGGCTAAGCTTAGTCTCTCATACTTTGGACATATTGTCTGGAGGAAACAATCGTTGGAGAAGGATGTCATGCTGGGTAAGGTGGAGGGTCAGAGAAAAAGAGGAAGACCTCTAATGAGATGGATTGGCCAGGTGGCATCATTGATGGACTCAAGTGTGGCAGCGGCAGTGAGGTTGGCCCAGGATCGGACATTGTTTTGTTCTGCTGTGCATGGGGTCGCTATGAGTCGGTTCCGACTCGATGGCACCTGACAACAACATACAACTTTTGTATAACAGTGTCCTTGCAGGTAGATACATGGTCAGAGATACAGGCTGAATCGGTGTGGGAGGAAGAGTCAGAGTATATCCATAAATATATAAGAGCTTGAAAGAGGATATCTGTATGTGGTTATTTACCTTTTCTGAAAACACAACTATGAATGTGGTGGAGCATACAATGGGCAAAATGATGACTTCTTAGATATTATCAAACATCTTAGGGTAATGAGTGCTTGACCTGGGGGCTCAGGAACGCAGTCTTAGGTGACATCATGGTCAACAGCCCACCAAGACAATGGTCTACATCCTACTTTGGTGAGTAGGAACTGTGATCTTAAAAGCTCATGAGCAGCCATTTACTGTGCAGCTATTCATCTCTCTATGCGTGGAAGAAAGAAGAGTGATGAGAATTGAAGATTCTTGGAATCAATTAGTCTAAGACCTGAAGAACTACCAATTGCTCTGAAAGGGAACAAAACTTAAAATTATTAAAAAAAAAAAAAAAAAAGATCAGGCTTACTGTCCATAAAGAGACTGCAGGTACCTTAGACTATGGACTTTGACCACCCTTCAGGTCTGGAAATGAACTCATCCTTGTGGCCCAGTTTTCAGTCAAGCAATAGATAAATAGATAAATATATCGGGAGGATAACAATATTAGTAAGATGTGTTCACCATGGAGTGGTGAATCATTCAAAATCAAAAGGGCATCATTTACCTAAGGACAAAGTTGAGAAGGGATGGGAAGGTGGGTAGAATGCAAATAGGAACCACAGGGAGGAAGCAGGGTAACTGTTGCTGTATGGAGGGGATTACAATCATTGAGATGAAACAAAGTACCATTTGTTGAATGTAAAACTGATGACCTTAGCTATACACTTTTACTCAATTCACAATAAAAAAATTTTTTTTAAAGCTGATTTGGGCAAGTATTAATAAAATCTCAAAAGATTAATAGGAAAATACAATACTAAAACTACAGATCCACAATAGCCAACAATATCCATATTATGCTGATCTTGCCCAAAAAACAGTCTAACAGCTTCATTTAATAACTCCATCTATGTCTACAATGGGCGGGAATAATATTAATGTTGAGGCAGACCACTTTCTGTTTAAGGAACCACATCACAGAGCCCAAGCTTTTGTTTGTTTATTTCTGGATTGAGCACTTAACTAATTAAAGAGAAATCTCCCAAACTACTATTTCTATTACAGCCATTCATTATTTCATTAGGGGCACATACATGTTTTTTCCTAGAAGAACTTCTTTCCAGTCCAGTACAAGGTACTAAATTCATGATCTTAGTTTTAAATTTGAGCCATCAAAGTGAGAAGAATAGAAGTTTAAAAGGGAATTTGAAATACTTACGTTTCTCAGTTTTCTGCTATAATCAAGGCTCCTAGTTAGAGGAAAAGAAGAAGAAGAAAAAAAGATCAGAATCGGTTTCCTCACTGTGACCATATCTTAAATACCTTTAAGATGCACCTGAAGCTGGAAAATATACCAAAATGGAGAATATTATTTTGTTACTATTATTTTGTTCAAGTAAGGTTCTGCCTTAGTTATAGACCACTGACAAATTGAAATCTGACTGTACACAAATATTCTTCACTTAAGTTTTCTTAAACAAAGGTATAAAAACTTACTTAAGCAAACATATATGAAAATAAATGTACAAGAAGCAACATTTTCCAAAAATATGTTCTTTCCTGCTATGGGTACAAATTTGGGCTGGGAATTAGTGGTAAACAGACAAATGTGCATGTATGTATGTGGAAGTATATAGTCACAAAAACGACTTGGTACCAAAACCAAAACCAGATATGTTGCCATTGAATCATTTCCAACTCAAAGTGAACCTATAGGACAGAGTAGAACTGCCCCACAGTTTCTAAGGTTGCTATCTTTAAGGACTGTGAGGATGGCACAAGACAGGCAGCATTATCATTCTGTTTTGCATATGGTCGTACCTAGCAACAACAACCTCTTTAAGGAAATCGACTCTCACATTTTTCTCCTGTGGAGCCGGTGGTGAGCTGAATCATCAGAGCGTCTGATCTGCAGACAAGCGCTTAATCACTGCACCACCAGTGCTCTGCTACTTGGTTGTTGTTGTCATTAGGTGCCATGGTGTCAACTCCAACTCATAGTGACCCTATGTACAGCAGAATGAAACACTGCCCAGCCCTGTGCCAGCCTCACAATTGTTATTATTATGTTTGAGCCCAAAGGTACAGCCACCATGTCAATCCAGCTCCTTGGGGTCGGTTCCTCTGTTTCGATAACCTTCTATTTTACCAAGTCTGATATCCATTTCTAGGGAGTGGTCACCCCTGATAGCATGTCCAAAATACATGAGACTAGGTTTCGTCATCTTCACTTTTAAGAAACATTCTGGCTGTACTTTTTCCAAGATAGAGCTATTTGTTCTTACAGCAGTCCATGGTATTTT